GTTCTAGAGGATTAAGTGAAAGATGGCGAAAAAATGAGTTCCAAGGTAGATCAATTAAAACAATATTCGCGTGATAAGTAACAAAACCTAAATCGTATTTTACACTTTGATCCCACAGGAATAGAGCCCTGCAGGTTACGCTAGGAACAGGGCAAGGAAGGGTAAGGTTACGAAAATTTTCACAGGGCAGGTTGCAGGTTATGTATGTCGTAACCTGTCAACCTGCGACAAATTTTGCATATCAGATATTGTTAACATCTTTTCTAAAGTTATACATAAAGAAAAGAATAAAAGTAAGCTGATAACCAAATTAAAGTGTTTGCCAAGATATTTAACAGAAATAGAAGGATTCTCATGGACGTACAAATCCAGAAAGTTTCATGACTTTCGTGAATTTTATATCAAAAACACGAAAAAAAAGAGGTGATTTTATTGGTGAACCGGACATGAAAATTGATGTATTTGAAGTCCGTTGATTAAAAGGAACATTTTAATAAAGCAAATGAAATGAATTTGATTTTTAAACAAAATTATGGAATTGTATAAATGAAAATTTCAATTTTAATCAAAGAATCTGAAAAACATCAATTTTTATGTTCGTTCCATCATTCTAATTTTTCATTCAATACTTGTGTATCATCAGCATCAATATATGTCGAAGCTAAATCTGCATCTATGATTTCAACAGTTTTATCAATGGATAAAAGCAAATCATTAAAACGTTTTTCATTCGATCGAAAATATTCATTTTCAAGTTCATGTTGACGATAACGAAGCTTGTTAATAATTGATTGAATTTTATCTAATATTTCTGAAACGTAATTCATATTATGAAAACAATCCTTCATTAACAAATTGTGAATTCCATGATCAACACAAAATATATGAATAACATTTAACAATCTCCAAGCTTTGCGCATATTTGCATCTTTATCCGACACCTAAGCAAATAAAACGACACTAGTTTCTGAAATTTTCATGAATAAATTTGCTTACTACAATTACACTATTTGGATTTATACCAAATTCAATTAAAACATTCGATACAAGACCTTTTATTGATTGATCTGTATCAGCTTCATTAAATGGTTGCGTTCTTAAACTATATTTATGTAGCTGCAACTTTAAATCCAGAAAATGAATCGTAATGTAAATATACGAACGATGTTTATACTTGTCAGTCCATGCATCACATG